ACACTGGTTGTAGCTGCCACAGTTTCGTTCACCGATGATTTGGGGGGGTAGGTAGCTGCGCATTGCACGCGCGAGCTGGTAAATTGGTGCATAAATCCAGCACTGTTAGTGGGCTCTCAAGTGGGGGGGGGGGGGAAAAGGAGCTATGCATTGAAGGCAATAGCTTGGATGCACGAGCGCCACTGAGGGCGCGACTGGGCCATATCTGACAATGTCTCTAGCCATTGATGTGGCCTGTCTCGGGGTTCCCATCCAGGAAGACGGCAGTGACCAGCGCAGCTGAGTTTGCTGGTAATGGCTTTCATACTTCGCTGCCAAGTCATTGTTTGACCGCCTCTGGCTCTCTTCCACCCTTCACATGGTTGGCCGAAAAGAGCCCTTCGAGGAAGTCGGTCGACTGGAACACGCAACACGTGGCCAAGCCAGCGCAACCTATGCAGTGTGATCAGTTCATCTATCGAGGGTGAGTTATTTCTCCCGAATACCATTCGACGTACTTCGGCATTGCTGATCGGGTGTTCCCACCGGTCTCGGGCAATGATCCGAAGACATCGATGGTCAAACACTGAAAGTCTTTTGAACTAATCGAACAAAGCATAAGAACAAGTGGACTCTTTCAATGGCGTAGATAATCAACGTGTATAGATGTAGAAGCCCGCTTTTTTGTGCTTAGCCCTTACATATTCAAGTTGGATGGGGCAAGAGGATGGTGACACCGTCTATGCGAGCTACCTCTACCAGGCAAGTCATTACCCAACACGAAGGTCAGCAAGATGGAGACGCCGTTGAATTTATTCGTCGAGGTCGAGCAACAGGCTTTCGTCTAGCCGTATGTAAGACCAGGGAGTCCGCTTGCATCACCAATTCTACGAGTGTATTCCAAGCTAGCAGACTACCAACCTGTAAAGATGTGTAAGTCCACTGGTTCGGATCAACCCTAGCTTCAATCTAAACACTTCGTTTGATTCTGAGTTGTCAGTTCAAATGGCTGGGTACTACCCGATTCGATGGACTTTATAAGAGCGGATCATGTCTTCCCATACCCTTTTGTAGGCTAGAGCAGATATCCTCTAAGCAACCTTAGCTAAGATGTCATTCTTCTTGTGAGTCACTGCACTATTCTGAGTTCGTCTATCTAACGTACGATAAAGTTGTGTGGCAGGGCTGGCGTACCCTAAGTCGTTTTTTTTAGATGAATCAGTCCCTAAATCTAAGTCTCAAAGCCCGCAGAACAAGAGGAGATGAGTTTCTCACATCTTTTCAGGATAGATTTCAAGGCCTGATCCTATAACCACAAGATATCTGGTGAAAGGATCGACGTCATCCTCTGCGAATTTGTTTATTACAGAACACGAATTAAGAGGTTACGAGCAATTAGACAAAAGTAAATATCTCGTCTGCACAAAGTTTCTGAAAAGTGAGTATTCTCAAGCGTCCTCTTGAACTTTTCTGGACATTTTTGAATATTGAACAATAATGAACGAATACTGAAAAATGTTATCATAATTTCCGTACCATCCTTCGCCTTTCATCCAATACAGGGGCGAAGCTTGGACACAAGACAAGACACTGTTGGCACGCTGCACTGGTAGTACACACTTTTAAACTGGTAGCAATGAGGTGATTGATTGGCATCCCATATAATTGGCAGAATTGCAGCTAGGCAGCGAAAGTGTGTTACAGCTGAGGGGTATTATTTAGAGATATATTTCATATGGGTGGCAGTTCTGACTAGCACCCCTGTCAGCAGAGGTGACCTGATATGTCCTGGCTGCATGTAGGGGGATTGTGTTGAAAAAATCTTGTTGTGAAGAACGTTCATATCCCCCTGTCATTGAATCGTTTTCATCAAGCAGGTTCGGTATATCTCTTAATCGTATGCATACAATACACCGTAGGACTCCAGACGGACACCATAACATCAGTTTCAACACTGACGTGCCACTGTGTGTTATATTCGGTGCTTGAACGAGTCTGGTAGCCTCGTGCCACAGACAAAGGCCTTGGCACTGTGCAGGTATTTGGCGGTCTGTCTCCAGCAGGAATTTATATCCGGCAGCGGAGCAATTTGAAAACTTCAGAAGACAATTCTGATATATTCGCCTAACTTCGAGATATGCCAGTATCTCAGTGGCTAGGCCCGTTGTCTACACCTTATGCAGTCTTCGAAAACGAAGAGGAACGGTCCTGGATAAGCGCGCGGTCGTAATCCACAAATGTGTTCCAAAACGAGCGGCAGCCAGTTATAGATCCGTATCATCCGTAGCTGGTGGCAGTATGGGTAATTTGGATTCATTGCTGGCACTCAGTTGGAGGACAACATGTTGCAAGACGACTTCAGTTATTTTCACTACGGTTGGCAGTGGCGAGTTGCAACACGTATAAAAATAAGTGCATTGAGAAATGTGGAGCAGGTCAAAAGGGAACTTATTGCTTGTGAGAGTCTCTTGGTGAAAGTCCGGACGGCGGAAACGTTTTCCCCGCAGTATAGCTGCTACGCGTGTTCCGTAATTATCCGTGGTTGCTCCCTGCGCACGAGAGTCTGTATGTGTTGACTGCGCTCGGTTTTCCTACATGTAGGTACGTTTGCGTGTACGTGGTTGTCAGCAGATGACTGATTGCCACGCTTATTAGACGGTGCAGACGGTCAATCTCAGATGAGTCACTTTTGTGTGATGTGGTTTGTGAGTGCAGAAGAAAGACGAGTCTCGTGATCTGGTTGGTGAGCGACTGTGAGCTAAACAGTCAAGTATGTGGGTGAAGGAATAGGTAGTCACTTCTGCACGATTCGTGTGGTAAAACCAGTGGAAGAATAATGAGACCAATGGGACCAGTCGCTACCTCCTTATTGTGCATTACCGCCTCCAGAAACTGTAGCATTAGGTCTGTGAAGGGCTCAAGGTGTTCTTTTACAATGGACAAAAAGCTCAGACTCTTTATTGTTGCTGCTGACACGGATGCTCACAGCAGTAGGCTTAGAGCCGCTGACGCCCAATTTAGTGGTCGCACTGGATTAGACACGAGACAAGCACACAAGTGGGAGGGAATACTGCAGCCGTATGCTGACCATAGGCTGTTCCTGGAACAGGAGAAATCACTTGGCACACGGTAACGACTGACGAACCAGCTTCAAACCCAAGCTGAATACGCTGCCATTAAGTATTAGTGGAGAGTGTCGATCAATAACCGCTGCTTCGTCTGGAATACTTGTGTAGACTCTGGTCATGAAGTTGCCCGCTGCTGCTTCTGATTGCGCTTTTAAGGTCTACGCAAACCGCACACAAGGCATGGTTGTTGAGAAGCTCATGGAGCCCGAGTGAGAGTGAGTCGTTCAGCTGTAGCACCCTTTCGGTGCCTAGCTGCCATGCCACACGAAGGAGGCACGAGGGCTGGGATACTGTCAGGTCGCCCAAGCCTAGACAGGGAGCCCGAGATCAAACACATCCACCAGAGTCTGCTCCAACTACCGCATATTGATGCAGTATCGATGTTAACGATGGTTGGAGCGAGATGCCCAAAGCCGTACATAATGTCGGGTTTTCTGCCGGTCACATAACTTAGCCAGCATCTTTCAAGAGATGAATCTTTGGTAGAACCGTGGATTTTCTGAAGGCCTGGTGACGCATTACTGCTAACTGCAACCAAAAGGTAACTCGAAGCCAGGGAAAACTGTGTATGTACGGTCCTATCCAGAAGGTCAGAGAAATGAAAGAGGTGAAAAGTACTGGAAACACCTGGAGCTATGCGGATAGCTTTAATGGATCCATTGAATTAGCTCAACAGCTCCTTGGGGGTCTTTTGTCAGTGAAACCATAAGGGATAACAATCGCACAATGGTGCAAGGTCTGTAAGGTCCTCAAAACTACCACGTTGCAAAGGATGAGAAACCTGTCGACCCACAGTTCAGTTCAGTTATGTTTAGCAGCTATGAACCATGTACCAAAGGCACATGGTTCCAGCCAGTACAATTTAGGTCACCGAAAAATGGAACGGCGTGGAAGATACAACCAGGAACTAGAGGCAACGCATGGTCAGTGAGTTTGGGAAAGTGAACAGATAAGCATTGTTGGCGATGGTTTTGATGCACGAGCATCACTGAATGCGTGATTGGGCAGTGTCCGCCAGCGTCATCAACCATTGGCAAGTTGAGTCCGGAGGTACTCATCTAGGAAAAGCGACAGCTTTCGACCCGACTGAGTCCACTGGTTAGTGTTTTCATACTGTTGCCAGGTCGTAAAATGAACACCTCACAATCTCTTCTCTTAAGCTAGATGAAAATTGCTATGCGAGGATCGACTCGACCGACGGACCGTAGATTTTATTCGTCTGTGTGATTTTTGGTTGGTCCTTTGTGTTGTAACTCGCAACTCGTCGTGGTGCTTCATTTGCTGCGGCCAATACTGAACTTTTCACAAGGCCCCCGATTATTCTCGTGAAAAGGGCCAAGAACGCCAGCTAAGCGCTCACTTCTGATTGGCCCATATTCTGACCAATCACGGCATGCATTACTCAGCCGTTCAATGCGTTTACCTCCGGACTTGTAGCACTGACTGACACACAGGATGGAGGCTTTACCCTAAACTTCACGAACTGGATTTTTTCTTGCTTTCCAGCGGCTTTCGTTCACCTGAAGGGCACAAGCAAAAGAAGCGAGTGGCTCGCGCGGTACGTTCGAAATCGGTTTCGTTTTTCCCACGTGCAAATTTGTGAAAGAAATTTTTCGTTGTTCAATCTATTCACAGAGTGCATACGAGTAACTGTTGAATTTTAATACTCCAACAAAACCTCTGAGAGATAATCCTTGATATTTTGCGCACACTTCCTATTTTACATCTAGTCCTCAACATGACATCAATTTATACTTTTGCCCTCTGCAGCCATTGATAGACCACAACAGATGTGGACGAAATGGCTGCCCGTCGAACGTCAAACGCGGTATGCAATGCCACACCTGAAAGGCCTGGTGGAACTTCAAATACACGGGTTTACAGGACGACTAGATGAGCCGACTAGCTAACCCTCCTGACCGATTTGTCTGCCCCATCTGCCTCTACGTTAAGGGTGCAATGAATACCGCAGCCAAGAGTGGAGCCACCGAAAACCGTGCCCAATCCCCACTGAAGATTCAGAAAGACCGATGTCAGTGTTCCGCTCTGATCGGGACACTCGACGCAAAATTGGAGCGTCTTTCAAGGGCACTGGATGACTCAGACACTAAGAATGCAGCGACTTGGACGAAAGTTGACAAGGAACATTCGCTGAACGAGTACCTCGCGATATCCACACCGGGCCCTCTGGCTGCAGAGAAGTTAATACAACTCTCTGACGCGGCTATAAAGACCGCCACAGCGTCTTTAGTGGACAGGCGCCTAAGGGAAAGCAGATTGATAATCTGGGGGTCATGCTCCGGAAAAACGACGCCAGCGAAGCTGGCACAATCGATCCTTAGCAATGTCCTCACCAGGTCTAACCAATCGCTCCGCGCAGAATGGTTACGCCGGAAGGAAAGCAAGCGAACTCTTGGACTTCTTGTCACTCTTTCTTCCCCATCCGACGTACAGAAGAACTTGGAGTGAGCTGGCAGCACTCAGAAGGCCGACCCGATGATCAGGCGTCTATGTCAGTATCGCCCTCCAGAAGCGCGAATGCTCGGTCACAGCAGGTCAGGGGTGGAGGCCCGGAAGAGGTTTCCGCTGGGCACCAATTCAGCCGCCCCCAAACTCATGACCAAGCCTATTGTGGTCATATCCACTTGCACTCCCGAAAGCAGGTCGACGAAACCAGCTGCGTCTCCGGACAGCAGCTATTATTCGACCACCATAGGCCTCTCGCCCACCAAAGGCAGTGATGCCCTGGAGGAGGCAAACCTCACATGCAAGCAGCACCCAAAGTACATGGAGCTATCAACGCTTACCTCCGTGACAGACAACACAGTCACAGCCATGCACTCCTCAACAAAGCCCCAGCCTCTGAACTGTACTGGGTCAGATGTGCGGGGACAAGCAGCGAAGCCAATCTCCAGCCCCGCCCCGTCAAAGCAGCCTCTCTGCTTGTGAACATAACCGTCGCCCAGGGCCTCGACAAACTAATCCATAAACATGACTACAGCCATCCGGAAGATCCCTCGTACATCCGGTTAGCCACGCTGGTCGCCGGCGGATCGGGTGTCTACACAAACACGAAAGAAGGGGGACGGCAGCCAAGCAAGCCACATAAGATTCGCCAGATTAGAGAACTGCTGGCTGGCTTCAAGGTGCAGTCCTTTGCAAAAACGAGCCTCCTGGAAGCTCCATCAAAATCACTACTTCTTGGTGCCGCCACCCAGCGCCCAGGGCCTCACAGAGACACCTTTCCGGTCAAACCGCGCCAAACCGCCCAAGAATCCAGGAAGGCGAAAGCTTGCTGCAAATCTTTGATCAACAGAGAATCTAGTGGCCAAAAAAAGGATCTTTCACGAGCTACAAACAGCAACGGTCGAAATTTTCGCCTACGGAGAAAAACTCCTTCCCTCAGAGCCATCAGGCCGGAGCAAATTGGGCTCTCGCGGTACGAGGAAAACTTCGCAAGCAAAAAGTATCCCCAGAAACCACGAAGTCAGAAAGCAGACGACATCGCCCCAAAGGCCCCTTCAGAGCCTTGGACTCAAACCCGACGCACAAATATTAAGTCTGATAACCACCATGGTCACTTAACTTTCGGCTCCTTACTCTCGGAGGTATCAGAGACGGTGTTGAAATGCCTGTCCACAAACTGGCTCAAACAAGCTCGGCGATGTTAAACAGCAAGCTTGCCTTGAACAACCGTCCACAATTGCACTCAGAGATCCGGCTCACACCAGATGTTTCTGACGCGGCGATCTCGATAGACGGTTACTCTATTTTTCGAGCCGACTCAAAACGAGGGCAGGCTGGTGGGATTCCTGTGTACTAACATGAGGCCCTACCAATCCCAATTGTCCTCACTGACACCACCCCGGCACCCTTTTGCGATGTACTGTGGGTCCGAATCCGGCTGCACGGGTTTGATTCTCCTCGAGTTCCCCTGAAGATGACTAATTCCTCATACAAACCCTTGAGCAACTCTCCTTCAACTACCACTTCGCTGTATGCTGTCTACTTGTTCGAATTGACAGAGCTGTCTTTACTGGCCTGGCCTTCCCCTGACCAAAAATGGTTGCTGGTGTATTTATTAATGCACAAACCGCAGTTATGACTGCTTGGATCGTTTTCCACCTTGCAAATCTGGTAGCATGCACGAGGGAAGAAAACCTCGTGTGGTGGACGGGTACGCCCTGCAGGGAGGGTCGCTCCGTTACGTTGCACCATGGTGCGTTCGTATACCCGCCACCCCTCCAGTAGCACTGGTGCATCGCCCATTGCGGTGGTTCTGAGACTGACTTTAAATTCAGGGAAGCAAAAAGGTATTGCTGACTTCTGTTTGTTGCTGGTGCTGGGCTCGCTTCGGTTGAGTTATGCAACTGGTAATGCCATAAACCACAAATGAAAAAATAGCCTTTTATCTGTAAAGGGAAAAACAATAAAAATATCAGAAGTTAACTTGGGATAGCCCAAAGATACTCTGCAAGTACCCATGGCCTACGTCGACGTGCATATCTGTAACTGCCTTCGTCAGAAAAGAGGCTACACCGCACCAAAGCCCATTTCGTCATCCAAACAAAGAGTACATCTACCCGCCGCTCCCAGTGGTAGACAATGGCTAGTGGTAGACACTCGCTATGCACCATCTACAGATTAGAGCTGCTAGCAGTGCTTCGGGGACTAGCGCCTATTTCTCTTGCACACGCTTCCTCTACTGGTATAACCCAACTCATGTAATAAACACCAGATTATCCAGTTATCTTAAAAGTCCACTTCCGCCAGCCCTTATGCATCTGATTCCCATACCACGCTTCTGCGCGATTTTATCGGCTTTTACTAGATCCATCGTAATGCAATATCGCATGTTAGCCAACTCAACCCCTGGTCGCTAACCTGGTAAGTACAAATCTATCCATTTCCTACTCCATACAATCACTTGTCATCACCCTAATTGCAGCAGGTGTCAAGTTTTTTCTGTGTATAATAATGCATATTATCCCATTTTGTGTCCCCTCAAATTCACCATGTTTTGCGAATCTCCTCCCATCCCCTCATCTTCCCAAGCTTTGAACTTCGGAAGTGCCCGTTTTGGACGACCTGGTTAGCTGATATCCACTCCACCTGGCCTATGATCTACAACTCCGTGATCACCAAGCTGACCACAAAAACCCTACAATCCCATATCGGCTTCGTTCCAGCTCGTTTCCCCGACCAGGATGAAACGAATACCGCTGCCCAATGAACTGCACACCCCAGTCGAATCACCTCAAACGTGACGTCCGTCACGGGGCGGTCCAAAAACTGAGGCATGCCAGGGCAGTGATGACACGGCACTGCCATACTCAGTTTGATGTCACACCCGCAACTGTTCCACTCCTCCTCCCATGCGAGCCCTTTTGCCTATTCGTTCCATTGACTGCAAATACGACAAACTCCCCAACTGAACCCGACTGCTTCCATGACGTTCATTTCAACCTGTTGGACTACTCGTTCGAACTCAGCCACCTCTGTGTCCTCATCCAACCTAAGCTCTTTGCTTGACTTTCCTACAACAGTGCAACCAGTGAGTCTGCTTGTTCTCAGATTGCACCATAATTCTGAGGCTGAACATGCTATGTCCTCCCAATTCGAATTATCCCGTCTCCACCTCCACTTTCGCTCGTTGTGACTCCGGCCATTTACTCAACCACCCACGGCCACTCGTGGCCAGCAATGGTTTTCAGTTTTAGTTCATGTCAGCCGACTGAGTCTTTGAGTTAGGCAGGCCTCATGCCCACTGTTCCCTACAAGTTGCGAAAGAAAACTGTTATTATTATTTCATCAGGCAATTCTCACTGTTTATGACATCGTCCCCTTTTCGCGGAATCCTGACTACCCGCAAATCCCCCACTCATGCCCCATTCTGATTGTAAGAGTATGATCATGCCAGCCGGTTTGCCACTTACAAGTTGGGAATAAACATTACTATTAGTATTATTATCTCCTGCTGGTAGGTGACTTCAACGCCCCCAAATTCCTCCTGGATGGAGCTCCAGCACATCGAAACAGGTGGACTTTTTGTAGGGGCGCTCATTGAAGCCGTTCAACAGAGCACTGGGACTCAAAATGTCGTTGCACCCACCAGATGCCGCGCAGGCCAACTACCACCCCTCCTGGATTCGAGCATTACCAACGAAAGGCACTTAGTTGATCAGGTAACAATTAATGCTCCACTGGGACATGGCAACTACTGTGTGCTGACCTTTGATTTAATCTGCTGTTGGGCTGGAAATCCCGAGCTTCAAACGTGGTTTCGAGACTTCTGCCGTGCAGACTTCTCAGGAATGCGCATCCTTTCGAAGTCAGTCACACTGGGACCAGCTCCGGTGGAAGACCTATATAGGACCATTGTCCAGAAAGTTCACGAAGCTGCGTTCGTCGCAAAAACCAGCACGAACTCGAATGAATCGCAGGCAGCCAAAAAGGATTCGGCGAATTCTGGAAAAAAGATCTCAACATTTTTTCAAAAAGTTGACAACAGGGGATACAGAGGATAAGCTGTCATTTCGTAAAATACGAAACCGCTGTAAGTCAGAAACCCGCAAATGGAGGATACGAGAACAAGCCACCATTCTGGACCTCGCTCGAAAAAACAAAAACGCCCTGCCCAAATACATGAGACACCGCTCAGAAACAAGCCACCCGCGTTCTCCTTGAGCGATAGAACCGGAGAACCGACGAATGATCCAACAGTGGTATCTGAGGTTTGCAGAGAACACTATGCGTGTCCATACTCAGCGCCAGCGTCTTTGTCGCATCCACTCTTGTTAAGGCGGAACTACGAACAGCCCCTGATCGACTTGGTCTTCACGGTGGAGGACATTCGTCAACTATTGCACCAGATCAACCCATTCTGCGTGTTAGGGTCCTACGAGGAGCATCCAAGGTCTAATGAATGTTTGTGCTCTGAGCTTGAAAATTTTCTCACTATGTCCCCGCCGTGTGTTTCCTGGGTCAACGGTAAAATCCGTTTGCTAAGCTTTGTTCAAACAAGGCATAAGTAAGAATTATATCCCCTCGGAGGCAACGGTACTTCAGGGGAAAGAGATCAAGTATCGCGAGACGCGTTTCGTAGTCCACGGATTTGAGGCCGGCAACCATTCTCGTAGCGGCTCGCTGGACACGCTTAATGAGGGTGATGTCTTTTGCGCGTCCTGGGTGGACAACTTGGTTGGGGTACTCCAAGAGCGGTCTGACGTAGGCCCCATAGAGTATTTGAAAGTCCATGCGAGTAATACGGGAGAAGGTGCGTCGGATCATCCGTAAAGTGGCGAATGCCTTTCGGGCCGATTTCTCCTGGTGCAATGAGAAGGACAAGTTTGAGGAAATCCAGATGCCCAAATCCTTTATGGCATCTATTCTCACGATGTTTTCTAGTCACCAATCACGATGCATGACAAAGGCACTCGTTGAGTCTCCTCCAAATGACATGAACGCACATTTCGTCATTCGGAGGAGGGTGCCAATCCAACGGCCATTGCTTTGCAGCGTCTACATCCATTTGTAGGGCACTCACATTGGAACTCCAGGATTTCAATTCATTCGCAAAAGGTAGACATGCTTGCAACAATATCTGGGAGGTCGTTGACGTGGATCAAAAACAGCGCTGGAACTAAGACGGAGCCTTGAGGAACTCCAGTGGAGACCGGCGCTGGAGAAGAGTATGGCAAGCCTATTCCCACTCGGAATGATCTGCCTGATAGGAACGCTTTGATGAAATGAGGGATTTTCGCTTGAATCTTATATGACTTCAGTATGCGGAGCGGCGGGGCATATGGGAACCTGTGAAATGCTCTTGAGAAGTCAAAAAATACGGCATCCGATATGAGTCCTCTTGTCTGACTTGGGTTAAGCTGTCCATAAATACGACCACGTTTGTCACACAAGAGCGGTGTGGGAGAAATCCGTGTTGAGCTGGAGCTATCAGATTGCTGGAAGTAAGGCGATTTAGGATAGCTCGCTTCAGAATGCGTTCCATCACATTGCACGGTACGCTAGTGAGGCTTATAGGCCTGTAGCTTTCAGCCAGTAGACGGTCGGTGTGACAATCGCTTCCTTCCAAGCAGGGGGAAGGCGGATTTCGTCAAGTGACTGACGAAAAACTAGATATAAATGATTTGCCAGTGTGGAGGACGTTTCTTTCAGGATCCTCGGATGGACCTCGTCGGGTCCAAATGCGCAGAATGGGTTGATCTTGTCCAAGAGTTGACGAATGTCCTCCACCGTGAAGACCAAGTCGATTAGGGGCTGTTCGTAGTTCCGCCTTAACAAGAGTGGATATGACGAAGACGCTGGCGCTGAGTATGGACACGCATAGTGTTCGCTGTAAACCTCAGATACCACTGTTGGATCATTCGTCGGTTCTCCGCTTGTCTCCCTCAAGGTTAACGCGGAGGACGCCCTATGTGAGGCTCGAACCCACGGCCCTCTGATTAAGAGTCCCATGCTCTACCGACTGAGCTAACGGGGCTAAGCAGATAGATATGCTAGGTAGGCAAAATGAATTTTGTTCACTCGATAAGTTTAGCTAGGATTTTTCAGAACTCTTCGTTGATACTGCACGCGACAACAGGTCGCCGAAATATATACTTATCTAGAACATAAGGCAAGTTTGTTGCCTTGGTTATGGGAAACCTATATCCCTGTAACAAACAAGAACATTCAGATAAACAGTGACGAAATATTAGTCCTCAGCAACGCGCATCCACCTGTGGTCCATAGTTCGCCGCCTAGTTGCCTTCTGTCAGTCACCACTTTGTTGTTGGAATAAACCGCGGAAAATACAATCTGAAATTGGACATCAGTTAACGCCCAAGGTGCACAACAAGCTGAGCAATGTTTCGCTTCATAGCGTGACTTGAATTCAAAACGTTACCGTTAGCATTTTTTGTGCAGTATGCTGCAGTCCCGATGGCGATTTTTATAAAGCAAACGAAAAGCATACGGCGTGTCTGGCAACAGTTACCGCTCTCATAGAAGGTAGCCCTAAACAGCTGAGAGGTGACTTAAAATTACCTGTTTATAAGTGGCAGGGTTTTCTCTTGGCCTACGTCTTCATGTCCAAGTAAAGACAGTAAGCGTCTTAGTTTTCCTTTTTTACTTTGATTGACGCCACTTTGAGAAAAAGCTTGGACTGCTCTGGAGTTTTGGGCTATGCTAAATAATATCTTTAGAGGTCAGCGCATAGTCCGGAACCTAAGTTATGTATTTAAATGCAGATATAATATAAATAATATAGCATAGACGTATGATATATAATGACAAATAAGATGAATAATTATCATTGAAAATAAATATAGATGTGATGCAGAATTCTTGTTGACAAGCTTTTTTCACTTTTCTGTTTCAAGGTACGTTTAAGGAAGGGGCGTTCTCCTACAGTTTAAAATACAAGGGAACGAAGAAATTTTTACAAAGGCAGTCCGAGTATTTGGCAACAGGTGTAGAATATGAGAGACAGGAATAAACCTCACAGCGTGAGTCAGAAATGTTAACCCGTGGATAGATCAGCCGATGGCGAAGACTCATTTTGTCCTAAGACGTTTCAGTCATGGAGGCTAAAGTGTTGAGCTACCAGCTCGAAAGTGCTTGAGTGAGAATCTGCACAAGTTCTCTGTGTTGCAACGAGCGCCGCCATTAGAGAACTTGGGTTGAACAGATACTTGATCACTTTACCAAATACTAGCACTCGTAATTTGCGCACCTGACGGATATAAACTCTGCCAGTTCGGAAGGCACATGAACTGGTGACGGAGGGTCATCCGCGGTGTTTTTAGTCCTCTGATGCACCGCATTTCAATGGTAAAATACGAGGAGTAATCGGATTGACTGGATTCTATAAAGTTTCCTCGGACGATGCCTGAGGAAAATGTATCAGAATTTAAAGACGTATGAGATGTTCCTTAATCTCTGGCAACCAAAACACTTTGACCTTTAAACGGGCAGTTCTAAACAGACGCTAGATGGCTGAGAGTAACCTAAATGAAAATAAACAACCAGACCGGGAAATTGGAGGTGCCATTTGTGCTCCCCCTATCGCTGTAAAACAGCACCTATGTCCATCTATGACGACCGTCACGAGGCTGTCCATAAATGGAAGCATGTCAAGAGGGCAGTTCCATACCCCGCAACTATTTTTCCTTCAATATCTCGACCACAATTTTTCAATTACTTGAGCCTGTAATTTCCAACCACGAGAAAGGCTTTCACCTGGCCCAAACTGCCCCTGGGATGAGTTCATTTTAATCAGATGAGACTTCCTCTCACGTTTAATCAACCCGGTTTTCCGCCACAATTTCGATTTGCCCGCACTAAAAGTTCAACGTTCGACGAGTTTATCGATTTACATGAAGGTAGAAAGCTAATGGTCCTCAGGACAGCTTTGGGCGCGACCACTTGAGAAACTTTGACCCCTGGTGTATAAAATTAATGGACTTAGTCGATGGCGAACATACCGCCGCAGAGAAATAAACGAATTTGTGCAACAACGCGTTCGTGTAAATCCACTGACCATTATTAGTAAACGTCAATACAAGATGATTCTTGGGGTTCAGAGGCGGCTACATGCGTCAGAACGTGAAGTGTACGTCAATAAACACAAGATACGGAACAGTTTCGCTTTTTAGCTGCACATGATTTCGACGCTACACCGGCTTCAATCGTGCTCCACCATTCAATTCGCCGACAAACACCCCCTTCTGCAGTGCGCTTATTTTCTACCTGGATATTTAACATAATTAACTTGTGATCAATCTGTCTGCATGCTCAGCCGGCCGGATGGTACGTTAGCAACAGTAGTAATAAAAATAGCATACCAGTTGGGGCATGAGTGGGCCCGATCGGGGATCCGATATTATGTCGTTGTGGAAAGGCATTTCTCATCTTATAAAACGACGGATATATTATCACTAGTATCGAAGAGCGCTTAATCACCGCGGTGTAGTGCGCATCCAATTTGGACTCAGACTCAAACCTGGTGCACAACTATTAAGTCTCATAACCACCCTGGTCACTCAACTTTCGGCTCCTCACCCTCGGAGGAAGAAGAGGCAGTGTTGAAATGCTTGTACACAAACTGCCTCAGCCTTTTCATCAAACTCGGCGATGTTAGACAGTCAGCTTGCCTTGAAAAACCGTCCATAATCGCACTCACAGAGACCTGGCTCACACCAGATGTCTCCGACGCGGAGATCTCGATAGACGGTTACTTCATTTTTCGAGCTGACTCAAAACGAGGGAGGGCTGGTGGGGTTGCTCTGTACTTACATGCGGCCCTACCAATCCCGATTGTCCTCGCTGACACCACCCCTGCACCCTTCTGCGATGCACTGTGGGTCCAAATCCCGCTGCGCGGGTCCGATTCTCTCCTTCTCGGTGTGGTCTACCGTAGCCCTTCGAGTCCCCCTGAGGATGACCAATTCCTCACACAAACCCTCGGGCAACTCTCCTCCAACTACCATTTCACTCATCTCCTGCTGGTAGGTGACTTCAACGCCCCAAAGGCCTCCTGGATTGCACTCCAGCGCGTCCAATCAGGCGGACCTTTTGCAGCGGCGCTGTTAGAAGTCGTTCAACAGAGCGCTCGGACCCAACATGTCGCTGCACCCACCAGATACCGCGCAGGCCAACAACCATCCCCCTTGGAT